AAACACCTTGAGATGGCCTCATCTGGTGGTGACCGCCAATTTTCTGAGACATGTTCTAATTAAGTTTAATTTTGGATTAGTGGGTACTAAATGTTATAGGAATAAAGTGTAGAGAATGGAAGACGTTATTTTGAATTGATGACGGACCAATTGCAGTTATTTAATATGGGGTCATGGTCTCCAATTAAACACGAGTTTCAAAATTTCTCTGCATCATCATCAATAGAGAAGAAAAATTCATGAAATCACGTAACAATTCGAAATAAAGCATCTGATTTTTGAATTGTAAAACTTCCAACCTGATTTTAAAATGTTAAATTTTTAAAGTAGGGTATAGCGTAATTTCCACGAATAAAAATGATACAACCGTTACAATTGCTTGACAAAATAGAACTAATGGCTTAGTCATTGAAAACATTTAAAAGGGGGGCACAAAATTAGTTATTACATAGAAATCAAAATGAAAACAAAGAGGGCGCAGGAGGGGGGCGCCACACAACCCCTGGATGTCCAGGGGATTGTCACAAGGGCTTTAGCCTAACATTAATGTCAGCAAATAATTGACTTTTTTCTTTGTAATGGTAAAGAAAGATTCGGTACTTTTTTAACGAGTCAATTATTTGAATACCAACAGAATTTTCATCATTGTCACGTTTTATTCCTTAGACTTCAAATTGCATCCAAATACTTTCAAAACTTGCACTCCATTCGTCACTCTTCCAACTTATCGTTTCAGAAATAGCTTATGTGTCTTGACAGCATCCGATGTGACTATTAACAAAGTTAAATGTGTACATGTGGCTGCCAACAATGCAACACAATTTTTAAAAATTCTGGCAAAACTTTTCCCCCAAAAACGCACTTCTTCAAAGCCCTGATCTTGAGGAGCAAATTTTCTCTCTCCGTTTTTCTGAGTTTAGGATTTCGGGTAAAAAATAATTATGCAGAGTGAATTTTGTTTTCGAAGAAGTGTGTTTTGAAGGAAAAATGCATTTTGCCAGAATTTTTTAATACATGTTTTGCATTATTGACAGCCACATGTGCATATTTGACTGCGTCAACAGTCACGTCAGATGCCGTAAAGCCACGTAAGCTATTCTCGAAACGGTAAGTTGAAAAGTTGGGAGAAGGAGTGCAAGTTCTGAAAAGTTTAGTAAGTATTTAGGTGCAATTTTAAGTCCAGTGAATAAACTATAACAATGATGAAAGTTCAGTTTGCATCCAAACAATTTACTCAGAGCTACGATAATTGAAAACGTATTTAGATTAATGTCATGAAAATCAAATCACACATACTGATTTAATCAAAAAAATTGAAAACGTGTACAAAGATTGATCAGATTAAGGCTCAAAACCCACATAATTGGAAACCAGGGAAAAGACCTGCCATTTGAGATGGTAAAATGTTACATTCTTCATATAGCTTTACGAGTGACATTGCCCTTCTTCAATCACACAACATTGTTGGATCGGGCTTTCACTCATTTTCCAAGATTACCCACTGTCTGGACCGTGACTCAGTTGTCAGTGTGATTGATTGTCCGAAAAGACCAACTAAGCATCATGGGCTTATCTACATTTACCTAAGATCCCGTTTGGCTCCCATTTTGTAGAAATAAAAAAGGGTAGAATAATATTATTTTGAAAAATGAATGGTTGAAAAAGAAAAAAAATTCGATTTATGTGTAAATCATTTTATGAAAAAATTGTATAGTTAAAAATAGGGAAGAAAAATGAAATATAATGAAATGAAAATTAATGAGAGCCAAATGGAGACTAAACAAAAAGCTGCTAATATTTTTTAATGTTAATTCCCTTTTTTTTTTCTTTTTTTTTTTTCCCTTCTCCCAGATTGTATTACCTTTTGGCATAATTTTAAGAAGTGTTATAACCAATAAAAATAGGATCATGCTAGATGTACCTAATTTTTTTTTACCTAATGCTTTACATACACTCACAATGGGGGTGTGGGAGCCACATGTTGAGATTAATTTATTCATGCATGATCCACGTGCTTGTGAGAGTAGGTAAATCATTTGGTAAACCAAATTATATACACTTAGAATTATCCATAAAAATATTTTCAACTGAAGAAAAAAAAACATAAGAAAGCCTAAAGCTCAAAATAAATTATTGATTCTATGTATTTGATTTATTGATTTATTATTATTTTTGCTTTCAAATAAACTCTCTTTCATTTTAGTATTGTTTTAATTAACACACTTAAACGCGACAAAGAATATTTAAGCAATCCACCATATGTTGAAGCTTCGAAATCTAAATGTAGCCAAGTTTAATTATTGCTTTTGTCAATCTTGTCAATTTTGTGACATTCAAAAATATTTTTTGATTCATTTTTTATAATCGGTTCAGCCTCAATTCAACCCTTTAACCCTTGTCCCTTGATTTTTTCCCCTTGATGCCTATGCCAATTTTCAAAACACTGATTTTGACAAAAATGTTAATCGATGCATAGTCGGACACAATAGTACATAGTAATCAAGATCTAGAAACTAACAAAAATAATTTCAAGCGATCCTTCAACGGCACACTCGTTAATTTTTTAATCCACTCCTCCGGTAATATTTGCAATTAAAGGCATCCCTTCCCAAACCATTAACCAACCGCCACTTCCAAATCTTGTAAAAACGACCAATATCCCATGATTTTTACCTTATCCAAAGAGTATAATCAAGGCACCCAAAGGGTGAAAAGACATTGTGTTTGCTTTCCAATAGTCACCAGTTCGAATCCCTTCAGAGCCACTGAAGTGAGTACCCGACTGTAAACTTCAAGACCACATGGAATTAGTTGAGGTACACGTAAGCTGTCCGAACACCCACAATCATATTTAAATTAAAAAAAAATATATGTATAGTTACAAAAATTCAACATAGAATACGAATTTCATTTGGACAAATCTTGTTTCTAGTAATTAGAACAATCCAGTACAAATAGAAAAGAATTGCGCATTAAACGAAAGATGATATGGTAATATAAGACACCGATCTAATGCTATCTATCATTGGCTGCATATATTAATTTCGAAATAAATGTAATTCAACTAAAACAAAAAAATCTGACACTGCTCAAACGTTACCTTCAAGCTTTCAACAAAGTTCAGCTGTTTGGAGAGACAATGCACAAGTCCACGAATGAACTTGCAGCAGTTTTAAAGTAGAAGCCAAAATGACTGAGAAACCAGAAACAGTTAATAATTTTTCGTGCTTAGATATATAGGGAAATCCGTGAGCATATGATATCAAGTATTTTGGATTCACTCGCCATTCATTATATGTGTAGATAGCGCCCTGAAAATTGGTTTTAACTAATAACTACCAAGATTATTTGGTACATTAGGAAATAGAATATTACCTGTGGTTTGCAGAAAACATGTGTCCCATCAAGCCTGCTGCCATTCAACCATCAAAATGTTAACTAGTTTCAATCAAACTGAATCCATGTCTTGCAATAGAAAATTAGAAGACAAATTTTGAAGTTACACTTACTCCCAGATTTTTAAGTGACTTGCAACAACCAGGATCAATCGTATCCTCTGGACTGCATCTGCTTTCTAACTGCAATAGCTGCTAGTTCTTCATTCTGGACTATAGTCTCCTGTTTCTCATATAAAAAACTTGAAAAGGATACTGACCAAAACAAATATAACCATAATGATTTAGATTTTTATGCTTTGAAAAAGTAAGAAACAAAGTAAGCTGTTAAGCATAAGATCTTATAATCTACAGAACACCCTACATATTTCCAAATTGTAGAATTGAACTTCGTCAATATTCATTGTAGACATTGCATGAGCTCAATGATAAAATTTTAGCAGCATAACCCACCAGTAAACTACGAAAAAATGCCATAATAATAAAAGATATGTTCAACGAAATCTGTCATACATAGCATATTAAGCAAATATTTCTTCAACTAAATTCAAGCCGCAATGATTTTTAAACAAAATAAACCACAATAAATCCTAAAGAGACAGCTAAGAACTAAATGAAATGTCATAACAGCTGCAGGAGGAAGTAAAATGGATAAAGGCAGCTGGCTAAACAGGTTCTTTGGAGCTATATATTAAAAGCTTGGTATCATAAGGTGTCGGGACATGGCAGTTTGATAGGTAAGATCTTCAGATATTGTCCTCCTAAAGAAAAGCATCAAGGTGGATGGTCAGTTTTCCAAACCCTGGTTCATCTGGTCTTCTGGTTTAGGCAGTAGGCTTCACCAAAAGAGGCAGAAGGCTGACTTCAGGCTTCAGATATCTCAGCTGTTTTGTTTGGAATGGAAAGGAAACAAAGGGAAAAGAAGAGCATCAGTCATAATGGGGAGAGAGGAAAGTTATCACAAAAAATCAACAAAACTTTTTTATGAGCAAATACACATAAGAAACTTCATTGAAAGCATGAATAAAAACAAGGATATAAAGTGAGACCAAAGTCTACCTGCAATCTTATTATCAAACTTTAGTATTCATAATTTCTCCCCCTAGAAACAGGGTTACGTCCAGATAACCTGGTAAAAGAAACTGACAATCAGGGACTTGGAGAATCATATCAGTTTATACAAAATATTCTCAGGATGTATGGATACAAATTTGGATAGGAAAAAAAGATCAATTTGGAAATGTCTGTGTTTCGAGTCAAGAAAAAAGACACCAAGTCAGCGAGTTAAAATAATAAAAATTGGAAGCACCCAAAAGATGGCATTTGTAAAATTCTGGCACAGCTCAAAAGGTCAATTTAGTTGAATCCTCTATGACTAACATCATATAGAAGCGCTTGCACTCATGGAAAAACTAATATCCAAATATTATTTAGGCACTATACTGGTTCAACCTGACATAAGACACTAGAAAGAACATGGATATCAGTCCAGTGCATCAACAAAGAGAACAAAAATCTTACCCAGAACCACCAGGACGACCTGAAGAATGACCTCCATAGACTCCATAAGCAGAGCTGCCACTGCCGCTCTGCAAATAATTATAAAATACAATCACCCCACCATGGACAAAGTAGAAAGTATAACAAGATTTTGCCCCCATATTTCAATATTTTTTTCTCAAAATTAATCGAAATAAAATTGACACAAACTTTACCTGAAGACCACTATAAGTTCCATAAGCATCAACACGTGGCAATTCAGGAGAGCCACCATATCCATCAGAATAGGAATATCCACGGCCACGGTTCTTAGAATCTCTGCTTTCATAGTTTAAACTCTCAGGACCATCTGCTGACACTGGAAGGTATGGAAGTACAGGTACAAAGGCGGACATAGCACCCTCCTTCTCAAAAAGATTTGCCCTCAAGCGTGAAGTTACTTGTACAAGGGCATCCTTGGCAATGTCAAGCTCTCCAGAAATCTTACAAAAAATTAAATAAAATAAAAACGGAATTAGGTACTCAATGTATGGTATGGTTTAGGTATTCACATAATGACATGGTTCCTCTTTTATTCTTCCTTCTATTATTTAGATTTAGATACTGGAAAAGGACGAGTAGCTTTGGATACCATTCCATTTACACAAGTAATACAAATTTCCATGTTAATAACTCAAATATATTTTTAAAAAATATATTCTATTACCTTCATTGATCAAAGCCAAAAATATTGGACATATGTTACTATTGCAAATTCCTGAATGGTACAAGGATTTACATGAATGGAATAGGGAGATGCGTTTTAAATGTACCTATAATGGTGTTCAATTGTCCAAAACAGAATTTCTGCAAATTTGGTAGACAGATGGTATTCATATAAAAATCTTATTTTCTTAATACTTAAAAATTGCACTTTAATCCTCAAATAAAAAGCTTATAAAATTGAAATTCAAAAGTGATTTCATCAATTACAACCACATCGCCAGGGAAATGTTTGTTCATATTAACCAACACCTCAATATTCAAACGTGTGAAAATCATATTACACACATCCACTGCCATAATTATTTCTTTACCTGCACCATCTCATCATCTTCAGCGGCCACCTTAGGAAGGTTTTCCTTCGACAGTATGCGAATATTAGCTTTAGTGATTTTCCTCATTTCCGAAATAATGGAACCTCCTTTGCCAATAAGGCAACCGATCCGAGAGGTTGGAACAAGCAACCGTGTAGTGAACGAAATAAGACCAGAATCTCTTTCAATTTTGTCACTGCATCTGGGCTGCAAGCGCAGTGCTGCTTCGATTGTTGGAGAGAACGTATCTTCAAAAAACTAATTACAAATACAGTGGAAGAAGTTTGAATTACAAGAAACTGAAAACATGCACACACAATATCATCAACTCTAAAATAAAACATGCAAAACCTTACCTCTTTTGCCGAAATAGAAATTACACAATCATCTCCCTCTGCAGCAGAACTATCAACTTTGATAGCTGCTCTAGATTCTTGTCTGATTTGATTTATGATCACACCACCCTTGCCGATAACACCTCCGATGTTAGAAGTCGGACAAACCAAACGAAGTGAGAATTCCTTTGAAGATGCTTCATTCCTTGGAGCCGAGTAGAGAGAACGTGACCAGTCAGCACTCTCTCCTTTATATTCCCCATAAGGCCCGAGCAATGGAGTCAATCCCATGATGGAGGCACCAGCAGGGGCCCCTATAAGTGAACCACCAGAAGGATAGACACTCGGAACAGAAGATGCCAGCAAATGCTGAGATCGAGAAGGATTGTCGTGAAGCCTAGATGCAATCTGATAAAGAGCTTTCTTAACTACAGAGGCTTCACCAGATATCTGCAACCCCACAGATTATTAAAACAAGCATATTAATAGGATTGGAGACATCACAACTCAAATTAAATATTCTGTCAATCTCATGGCTAAATCTAAATAATAACTGTGGGGAACATCCTGTGAGAAAAACAGTAAACATTGGAATAGTGATGAAATGTCATAATGCCATGTATACCATCTTTTTTAAAATGTGAAAGCCCTCAAAAATTATGATTCTCTTGGTGACAAATAATATTGAGTTACAAAATTACAACAAATGAAAAGAAGACGAGAAAAACAAAGAAAAAGTTCAGAGAAATTACACCTGCAAAAGCAGCATATAAGAAAACCCTATATTTCAGTAGAAACTTTCAGAGTGCAACTGAATATGAACAATAGAACTGTAGTGAGCCATGGAATAAATGATTGAGAAGATGAACAGAATATATGAATCAACAATACCTGCACAAGTTCATCAGAGCCCAATGCACATGCAGGCAAATGGTCATCCTTAAGAATGCGAACCTGAGCTCCAGTTTCGCTACGAATATTCTGAACTATCTGCCCACCTTTCCCAATGATGCATCCAATCTGATCAGATGGTACTAGAAGCCGAGCAGTAACTTGTGGAGCTTCTTCAGAGTCCTCGTCAACTGATACGTCCTCAGCAACAATTCTATCATGAACTTTGAAAAGTGCATCTTGAGCAGGACAAACACGATCATCACTATCATCAAGATCATTTGTTTCCTCACTAGTACTATATATAGTGACAACACGTTCTTCACATCTAGGCACTGACTCGCCAATTCTAATCTTCGATTTAGTATCCACTCTTAATTGCTTAACAATTTCCCCTCCCCTTCCTATAATACTTCCAATCTTCTTTCCAGGGCACAAGTAGCGGTACACTGTGTCATCCGATCCAATAGAGAAAAGGTCTTTATCAGTTCCAGAATTTCTTCTTTTGTTTCCTCTATTATCACCAAAGTCAGATTGAGAATTCAATCGCTTCCCGTAGTTTCTCTGACCAGCCATCTGAAATAATATTTGATTGATATTCCATATTAATCTACTGCTAGTTATTAGGTAAAAGTCAGAATTTATATGAACTAAATCAGCATATCACTCCACAACTCAAAACATATCCGATGGTGGTGTTACAACATCTAAAAAAATAAGTTTCCATCTCATTCCAGAATTTCCATATCCGCTTCAGCATATTCAAAAAAATATTGCACATTAACATAACTATAGTTTGTGTCTTTATGTTTATTAACTGAAAAGCCCAGGAAATAATAATAGTAAAATCTAAAACAAGGAAAATTGGATACTTGACACAAATTGCTCTAAACCCTAAGCCCCCATTTGGCCCCCATTAAATTTCATTACATTACATTTCATTTTTCTTTCTCCTATTTTCAACCACGTAATCTTTCATAAAATAATATTATACGTAAATCGAACACTTTTCCTTCTTTTTCAACCACTCATTTTTCAAAAAAAAAAAACATTATTCCATCCATTTTCTTTTCCAAAAAATGGGGGCCAAATAGAGCCCAAGTTAAAAAGAAAAATATTAATGCAGGCAAATTAATTGGACATGCCACTATTGCACCGCATAAATTCATGGACATGATTGCACACCTCAAAAACGCATGGGACCAGTGCCTCAAGGCTCTAGTTTTAATAACATTTCACTAAGGATGTTACCACTCATTAATGAAGTGCACACCTCAATGCGCTAAGGCAGCAGCAATAAATTTAATCTTTTGCTGTGTTGTTATTATAATTATTATTGTTTTATTTATTTATTTATTTATTTTTTAAAAACAACTGTAATTCTAAACATCAGGTTTAAGTGGGTTCATAATTGGGCAACAACATTTCCTTCTTTGACGAGGCCTAAGTTAATATTAAATCGACACCCAAGACATGAGAACAAAAAATCTTAAAAAACAGCCCTGCTCCATGCATCCTCACCAATTCCCAAGATATAAGTTTTCTACCACAAGATTCCAGCAACCTGCAATTTCTCAAAATTCCAGCAGGCAATTCTGCTTTAATTTAATTTATTTATTTTTTTTCCTTTTCTGCAATTTTTTCCTTTCTGGTTTTAATTTTTTCTCTCTCAAACTCTTCCTCTCTTTGCTCTGATATTTATGAGGCAGCGTTGCAGAAACCCGAGTGACTTCACAGGAACTCCAGCAGTAGGAGTACTTGGTACTTCATACTTTTATTTTGGTGTTAATTCTACAATGATTTTTCAAGATATTTCATGATTTCTTACATTCTCTTTTGTTATTTCATAGCTTTTTGACGTAATTTTTTATTTGAGGTGAGGCTTATGCCTCAATCTGCTTAGCTTAGATTGAGGCTTAAGTACCTGGTTACACCTTCCAAAAATAAATAAATAAATAAACATCATACATGTTTATGAGTGAATAGTAAGTTCGCAAAAATTTAATTTTAATATGGCCTAAGTACCTGGTAACACCTTCTTCAAAAAATAAAAAATAAAAAAATAGAAAAATAGAAAATCATATATGTTTATGAGTGAATAGTAAGTTCGCTGAAATTTAATTTTAATCAAATACCATGCTGCAATTACTTCATAACACACATTCAAGAAGAAATTAGATTATAAAACAAGAAGATATAAAAAACAATTGAAATATTGAATAGTAGCGTCACCCGCAGAAAGGGGAAATAAATCTTAAGCCCAATATATCTAAGTGGATTTTTTCATTGAGAAGAGATCGACAAGAAACACTAAAATCCCAGATCTTAAGACCGCTTAATTTCCACTGAACAGCACGTAAATAATCAAAGAAAAAAGAAAAGAAAAGGAGCGAGACGTTAAAATTTCTTCATTTAACTGAAAGAAAAAGTCATAAATTAAACTCAGTGTCCAATAATCTAATCCCATAATATAAAAACGGAGAGAAGGGGACAGACAAGCTTCAATTTTATGATACTAAATACTCAAAAGCACAAACAACGGTATAAAATCTCTACGTACAGAACAGATCCGCAAGTAAAAACAGATCTGGAAATTAAAAATACTAATATATTAGCAAATTCTTCAGAAAAAAATACCAAAAGATAATAACTAAAAAATGAGAAAATTACCTTGCATACAGAGTTCAATCTGTTGGATAGAAAATTTCAAGGTTAAAAGATTAAGCGAAAGAAAAGTCTGCGTATGAAAATATGCTTACGACAATACAATAATATTTAGGGTTTTGAGAGGACTGTATGCGTAATGAGAAGTTACGGGTAAATGTTTAAGACGGTCGGGAATACTATTAAATGTTTCATTAGCCACTACACTTCGATTTATGTTACGATATATGTATAGAACTTTCAAACTTTTTTCACTGGTCACTGAACTTTAATCTATTATTGTCCATTGCCCACTGGATCAGATCTATTGCTTGACGAGTCTATGTGGCTGACCAAAAACATTGCTAGCCGGTTAAATCCTTACAACAATGAATGTTTTGCCAAATAATCGACCACGTACGTTTATTAAAACACGCCTTTGAGAAATCATTTCATACATGCCTTCCAATTTCCTCAAACAACCAAAACAAAAATTCATAAACCCACCTAACAAAGAAACTAAAAGCAAAATAGAAACTCTAAATCACCAAATTTGAATTCGACAATCGATCTCCTGTGACAGAAATCAAGGTCCTTCCCACAATTGTTGACTGCTCAAACAGCCAGTCGAAGCGTGAAGAACCAATACCCAATCCATTTTTGTAACTCAAGCAAATGGACGAAAAACACGAAGGTAAAATCTCAAACTTTTTTGTGGTTTTTCATGGGTACGAGAGTTCATACACATGCTAAAGAGTAATTTAATTTCATGTAACTGAACAATTTGGATTGGTAAACTTTGCAGGCACGAGCAAAACTAAACTTTTTTAGCCCCCACTTGTTCTTTTTAAGTTCCAACTTGATGTTTTTTGTGTGTGCCATGTTTGGACTTTGGGATCACTACTTTACTTCTGTTTCTTAGCTGTCACAGTCAACATATATTATGCATTTTCCTTTTCTTTAATTTTTATTTTAACTTGATCTACATTTGTGTCTTCAAATGGGAAAAGAGTTTGTGTACCTTTGTTTGTTTGGACGATATGTGCAGAAGCAAGAATGAACATCTATCTGCTTCACAATTCTTCTATTGTTGAGCTGTCATATAATTGAGATTGTTGATGGGCAAGGATGCTTTTGATTGTTTCCAGTCAACCATGATGCATACATAGGATTACCAATATTATCTGTACTCACAAAGTAATGTCCAATAGCTAATGTATCAAACAATTATTCTTTAGTTTGGCCACAGTTTGTTGTTCTCTATTTGACAGTTTATGTGTATTCTTGGTTAATGTAGTTTTAATTGTATGAGAGACTGTGACGAAGATCCAGACTTCATAGAATCCGACCACAACTTTAAGTCTGAAGGAGACAACATCAAATATGATAGAAATGTAACTATGGGATTGATATTGGATCGAACGACCGTCAAGATGAAGTTCATGAACAACGAGAAGAGGGCAACGATAATAATTTGGATTAATTGGAACTACCGTCAAAGGAGGAACTACTCTCCCAATGTTCATTTGATGAGGATGACAGTTGTCACGGTCCTGAATTCACTTTTGATCAGGAAATGAAAAATCCTCAAATCGAGGTAGGTAAAATATTCAGTTCCAATCAGAGTTTCGAGAGGCGATGCGAACATACGGTGCATTGAATGAGTACAACGTAAAGTTTAAGGCAAATGAAAAAAGAGAAATCCAAGGAATTTGTAAATTGGGTTGCCAATGATGAAAATGGGCTTCTAAAATGGATGCATCTGAGAGGTTGCAAGTAAAATCTTACACTTCGGAGCATACCTGAAGTTGGGACCAATTTAATAGACACTACAATTATCTATTCTTGACAGGTCAGTATATAGAGCATTTCAAAACTGACCTGGACTGAAAGATCGAGTTTATTTTGGCAATGGTGAAGAAGGATCTCCACACAGACATTAGCATAAATGTCGTGTAGAAAATGCGAACATATGCTAAAGAAGTTTTAATAGGAAATTTACCAGAGCAATTTAGGTGATTGCATTCTTATGCAGCCGAGGTACTACTGACAAATATTTTGTCTACAATCATTACTGCATTACATGATTAGATATTTCAGGGGATCTACATATGCTTCAATTATTGTAAGATAGGTTTTCAAGATGGTTGTAGAAAGGTAGTAGGTGTTGACAGTTGTCCCTTAAGGGTTTGTTTCGGATGGATAATGTTAATCGCATCTATCTCATTGCATATATAGTTGTTTATAAAGAAAGTACGACATCTTGACGATGGTTCTTGACCTATTTTTTTAGAGGATATTAATATTGGAGATGATAGAGGTTTGACTCTAATGATGGACAGATAAAAGGGGCTACAAATGTGACAAACAAGTTGTTCCCTGAGATCGAGCACATGTTCTATGTACAACATATGTACACAAACTTCTTCAATGCGGTTCAAGAGTAAATTTCTTAAGAATTACTTATGGCATGCTGCCAAGTCAACAACTGTTGCTAACCATCGACATTAGATTTTGTCATTGCAGTGATGATGGCATATATTGATGAAGATGTTGAAGCAGCCAAGTATCTAAAGTGGACAGAACACTGGTTTTTTAGGAAAAGAATTTGAATTATGATTTTGTCCAGTGTGAATGATTTTAGCATGTAAATTGTAAACATACTATTATATATGATAGCTTGGGCATATATTTTGAAAACATGATACAAGATATGATAGATTGTGTTTCTTCAAAATTAGGTATATATTTACTTGCGACAGCAATGTAGCATGCCAAGCTCACACATGAAGATGGCCATCCATAAACATGACACTTTATTTATTGACCTGATTGAAAATGTGAATTTCTCTTGTTATTTCTGTTCGCACAAGAGAAAGTAATTGAATCTTAATTCATAAGTTATTTGATTTTTGCGTTACTTGATTAAATTGAAAAAAATGAGCAATGATTTAACATGTTGTGTTATGTACAAGATAGTTGAATCTTAATGCATATTTTTTTGTACTTATGGACATTAATTAAAGGTTCTTTGTATCTGTTTTGAGTTATAATTGTAGAGGTCTTCAGGAAAAAAGGTATGAAGCTCATTTGTTGAAGACCCTTATTTTAAGTAGTTTTATTCAAGTTAAATATATGTCAACAACAAAGCACTTGTGTGATTCTTATGAGCCTCAATTAGTTACGTCTTTTATCAATGTCATCCTTTATCAACGTCATCTAAAAACTTCAACTTGGAACTATGATTGTGTAAGGTTATTATAACAAATCCATTTGAAGTATTGGATATGATAGATTGTGTTTCTTTGAAATTGGGTATATATTTACATATGACAACAATGTAGCATGTCAAGCTCACACATGAATATGGTCATCCATAAACATGACACTTTATTTATGTGGATCCACTTCATAGCAGCATGTCACATATAAGTAAAAAAAATTAGTCATTAATGACTTCAAATTAAGCAATGCAAATTTAAGGCTAGCCTACTTGCAAGATTAATTGACAATAAACTAGTAGAGCAACGATAGATTAATCTGAACATTCATTCCTAAGTTTATCACATAAAAACATTGATATTACAAACGTAAATTTCAAATTACTAGGATTAATCTACACTCCGAAATTTGACGTCGACAAACAGATTATAAAACCAGTGAATTATACAAACTTGAGAATAATATTAATGGTTCAATTTCACGTAGCTCCTACATTTTGTTTCCTATTATCTTTCTCTTATTTTTCCTTGTGAAAAGTAAATTTGATAGAGATAGCTAAGTCATTTTCTTTGGTTACTTTAGCAACATGCTTTAACAAACCCGACAACTCATAAATCTCCTATGTAGCACTTGATCGACCCTCATATTGACAATATTTGTCTTCGTTGAGCCACTTGAAATGATTGCAATTGGTAGTACAAAGAAAAATAGTCATCATAATTTTCAGTCCTCTTTTCAATTTCCATGCACTTCTGAATTTCCTTATCGTATATTAGGCATGGTTTTTTGTCAGGTAATCCATCAAGTAGTGGCCCCGCTTTTGGCAACCATGGCACATTCCCTTGTTCTTTCCTCCTGTTATAATATGCGATTGCAACCAACAAATATGAACAAAATCAAATTAATAATCATATTTACTATACCCAGTAAATGGGTGATCATCGTGAAATGCTATATAGTTGCCTCACTTTTACTTGCCCAACATACACTAGCAAAAGCAAGAAACTAGTGAAGGAGAAAAATGACAAAACGAAGAAAAATTTAACAAAAATTACTATAGTTTTCAAGGAAAAAAACATTATTTTCTTCCCAATACAATTATCTTATACACACTCCATTACCTAAATAATCAACTTCATTAGGTCTTAAATAATAAAATTGGAGCTTAAAAATGATTGTGAATTGGATTCTGGATGGGAATCATATAAACTTGTTATTCCTCCATGAACAACTAGAAAATAGTGTAATGCTAAAATTTGCTTGATCATTACAAAAATCAACTCGTGTCCTACCATTATGAAAGAGAGAAGATGCATACCAAACACAAAATGATTTACAAAGAAAACCAATTTCCGTTTCAAAAATCAACTTGTGCCCTACTATGGGAACAATGGTTCAACAAACAAGTAGAAAATTACCTTTTTATCTAGAGAGATCTTGGGGATTTCATGGTGCTCACACTAGGGCTTTTTTTTTTTTTTTTTTTTGGCTTTTAGGCAGCAATTGAATTTGGGAGAAGCAAATTCACAACTTGGAGATAAGGACTTGGGATTTTAGAATCAAAGTCGTGTGAATTTTAATTGGTAAATATGCAACTTTGCTGATGTGGAAGATGAGTTGGCAAACCACTTGCCGCTTGGAAAGAGTTAACTGGCCATGTCATATGTCCGTTTGCTAGCATGTTTATTGACTATTTTATTGGGTGAGTACTTGGATGGAGCAAAGTTCAGTGGCCAATGACACAAATCCGTAATATAATGTAAAGTTTAGTGGCTAATGAAATATTTAACTTGTCGAGGGTAGGTGTCCCCATATAATTGGCTAAGGGGGTTTATTTGTGTTGATGGCATGCAGGTGTGGAGGATTTCATGAGGTATGACTCGAGCGGTAGTACATTTGTCAACGTAGATAACGAGTGTAAATGGTTTGGGAACTAGAAAACATCAATGGTTATTTGAAGTAATATTTGATA